CAAGTTCATATTGTGAAAGTCTGTATAAAAATCTGTTTCCATTATGTGTTATATACAAAGACTAGAAGTGTGTCAGAGAGAATCCTATAATGCGTATGGAATATGTACCATGCTTTACGATATCTGGGCACTCAACACTAAAAAGAGTTCTACTTTTCTCCAACATTTTGTGTATTTACACATATTCACTATGGTTTTACAGGGTGCATGACCGCACTGCAAATGGCCTACCATCATTCCTATTATTTAGTCCAGGTCTTAAGCGTGTATTAAAACGGACATTCCGATGTGACTCGCCATTCCCTCCACCACTTCTCCCTGACAACTTTCCTCCCTTCAAAAGTTTTATGTACTTGTCATGTGGTCAGCATAGCTAATATTTGCGTGATTTTAGTGGTATATGTTATTAACAAAAGGGAATAGAAGGTATTTAATATAATGATAATGATAACGCCAAGAATAGTGTTGATATACTGCTGAAGGCAAAACGGCAATCAGAAAGATATCGCACCGCCATTAACCCTTTAGCGACCAATTGTCCTTTACGGGCTCTAGCCACTAAGGTTGAAAATCGTTTACGCTAAAGATTTTAGATAAAATCCAGTGAAATCAGCATTAACTTCGGTGATGTACAATTGCTAATTATTATTATTGAACGATATGACTGGTCTGACATGACCTGATCTGATGTGATCTGACCTGATCTGATGTAAGCTGACCTGATATTAGATCAGGTCCGATCACTTCATATCACGTCAGATCAGGTCAAATCATATCAGGAATCACATCAGATCAGGTCAAATCACAGCAATCAGGTCAAATCATCAGGCTAGGTCAAATCTCATCAGGTCAGGTCAGGTCAGATATATCAGGTCAAATCACATCAATCAGGTTAAATCACACAGGTCAGATCAAATAAAAAAAAACTGCCAGACACATCATATGTGATCAGATTACATTAGATCAGGCCAGATAGCATCAGATAAGGTCAAATCAGATCAGGTCAGATTACATCAAGCCAGATCAGGTCAAATTAAATAACATTAGATCAGATCACATCGGTCAGGTCAGGTCACCTCATATACGGTCAGATCAGGTCAGATTACAACAGATCAGGTCAGATCATATCAGATAAGGTCAAATAATATCAGATCAGGTCAGATTACATAAGATCAGGTCAGATCGCATAAGATCAGGTCACATCAGATCAGTTCAGATCACATCAAGCCACTTCAGATCAGGTCATATCACATCAGATCTGGTCTGACCTGATCTGATGTACTCTGACCTGATCTGATGTGATATTATTTGACCTAATCTGATGTGAGCTGGCCAATATGATGAAATCTGACCTGATCTAATGTAATCGTGTGATGTGGCATGCTCAGATAATATTTTATATTGGGTTAGATTTCATTAGTTAAGGTCAAACTAAATCAAATAAGGTAAGATCAGGTCAGACCACATATTACATATCAGGTCAGATCACATCATATTCACATCAGATTACTTCAAACAGGCCAAATAACAGGTCAGATAAGGTCAATTCAGGTAAAATCAGGTCAGATCAGGTCATGTCACATACGGTCAGATCACATAACATCAAGTCAGGACAAATTAGATAGGACAGATCAGGTAAAAGTACATCAGATCTGGCCAGGTCACATCAGATAAGGTCAAATTACATGGAATCACATCAGATCAATTTACATCGCATAATATAAGGTTAGATCACATCAAATCATATCAGGTCAGGTCATATTACTTCAGATCAGATCAAATCAGACAAGGTCGGTTCACATCAGATCAGGTCAATTCACGTCAGATCAGATCAGGTCACATCAAATACGGTCAGTCCGCATCACACCACATCCGAATAGGTCAGATCACATCAGGTCAGGTCACATCACAGTTCATATTGCATTATATCAGGTCAGATCTCATCAAATCAGATCGGGTCAGATCACATCGGATCACATCAGATCAAGTTCAAGTCAGATCACATCAGATCAGTTCATTTTACATCATATCAGGTCAGATTACATCAAATCATATAAAATCAGGTCAGATTACATCAGATCAAATCAAATCAGGTCAATTCACGTCAGATCAGGTCAGGTCACATCAAATACGGTCAGATCACATAGGATCAGGTCAAATCACTTCAGATCACATCAGACCAGGTCAGATTACATCAGATAAGGTCAGTTCACATCAGATCAGGTCAATATTACATCAGATCAGGTCAAGTCAGATCACATCAAGTCATATAAAATCAGTTCAGATTTTATCAAATCAGGTCAATTCACGTTAGATCAGTTAGGTCACATCAAACACGGCGGATCAGGTCATATCACATTAGATTACTGTAAGATCAGTTCATATTTAATCAGATCAGGCCAAATCACATCAGATCAGTTCATATCACATTAGATCAGGCCATCAGGTCAGGTCAGATCACATCAGATCAGGTCAATTCACGTCAGATAAGATCAGGTCACATCACGTCGGATCAGGTCAGATCACGTAAGATTACATAAGATCAGTTCATAAGGCATCAGATCAAGTTAGATCAAAATAGGACCAGGTCAATTCACGTTAGATTAGGTCCGGTCTCATCAAATACGGTCAAATCACATGGGATCATGTCACATCACATTAGATCAGGTCAGATCGCATCAGATCAGGTCAGATTACATCAGATCGATCACACATCGACATGAAATATATCCAGATCACATCATACCAGGTCCTTCACATTAATCAGGTCAATTCACGTCAGGTCACATAAATACGGTCAGATGGATTCAGATCACAACAGGTCAGGTCAGATCACATCACTTCGCATCAGATCAGGTGACATAAGATAAGGTCAGATCAGTTCAGATCACATCTCATCGTCAGATTGGTTCAGGTCAAATAACTTATCAGGTCAGATCATATCAGATCAAGCCAGGTTACATTTGTCAGTTCAGATCACACCACAGCAATTCAATTCAATTCCTTTATTTATTTAAGTGTCACGATACAGCACATCACTCAATCATATATAATTTTACAGTTGTATCCGGTCTTTAAGGACTTGAGGAATTAATGAATAAACAAAACTTAAAAATACTCGAATATTCCAAAGTTTTGATAGCTTTAAAATACCGAAATCCTTCTCGATCAATCCGCTATCACTAATTTCATTTGATGAAACCATTATTCTTTAATCACTATGCATTATTAGAGAGAAAAAATCAGCGGTATGAGTTAGTTTACAGGACACGTCGAGGGAGACATTCCTATAAGCAAAATAACCTCGCGAATAGATAACTTCCCTGCAGTTTCAACTCTACTTTGAAAGTTGTTTGCTTCTTGGAATGTGTGAAAAAATACAGTGTATTATTATTCATACACAAACACACATATATATACTTATATATGTATGTGTGTGTGCATGCATGAATATATGTGTATGCATGTATATGTATATGTTTATTTATATATATATTGTATAATATTCCACACGTGCATATATATATATATACATATATATATATATATATATATATATATATAATATATATATATATATATATATCCTGGACCCACATACACACTGCGATGCTGAATGAATGTATTGATGAACGCATATAATGTCCAGGATGCATACTTGAATATGTGCAAACACACAAACAAACCTACGCTCACAACCCTAAATGTACTTAATCGTGTGTGCTTGAACGGATGAACGATAAGTATTCACCTATTCCATGCCTCCTTTCTACTTAATTAATTTTGACCTTTGCCTTGATTACCCCTTCGCTAACCCTTCGCAGGTGTCCTTAGCCAGAGATCGGACAGAAGGCCAGTATAAAGGCTGCGCTTGACGGAGAACACAGCAGTTTCCACCGGACTCTGGAAGGAACAAGATGGCGTTCGCGAAGGCCTTGTGTCTGCTCCTCATTCCTTGCCTCACGCTGACTCAGGTAACTCCGCCAATCTTTTGCTTTTCATTTCTTTTTCCTCCGTTCTCCTTACTTCATTTCAAGTAAATATCAAAATTATATGCATTATTTATATGGTGCTGCATTGCGTTTCCCTTTCAAAATCTTTCTATATGTAAATTCACGTCTATTGAAAGAAAGAAACGGTTACCTATATGGCCATCTGCACCAAGGAGAGAAACTCTCCTTGGTATTTCGTAATTATCAATTTTCATCCATTTATCGCTACTTACTTGTCAAATGTCCTTTCAGAGCGTGCATGGAGAGACAACCCCGGATTACAACATATATAACGTAAGTGTTACTTTAAATCTTTCACTGCACTATAGTTTCACAAGGTCTTGTAGCAAGAGATGTTTTGCGAAATAAACGAAAGCAAAATGTATGGCTCTTAACCTTTCCCCTTTCCATATTAATCAAAATTATATCCGTTAGTTATATGGCGTTGCCTTGTGTCATCCTTTCAAAATCTTTTGATATGTAAATTCAAGTCATTTGAGCGAAAGAAACAGCTACCTTTATGGCCATCTGCACCAAGGAGAGGGTCTTCCGTAAACATTAATTTTATCTATTTATCGGCACTCACTCGTCAAATGTCCTTTCAGAGGGTACTTGGAGAGACGACCCCGGATTACAACATATATGACGTAAGTGTTTTTTAATTGTTTTTCCTGCTTTCTAGTTTTACATGGTTCTATAGCAAGAGATATTTTACGAAATAAAAGAAAGATGTATGGCTCTTAGCGCAGATTTACTGACGAATACTTGATTATAAAACTGTAAAGCAACGACTGTCAGCGAGTTTTTATGATAGATCTAATCCATTATTCACTTGAATTATGTTTTTCTGTTTTTATGCTTCAACAGTTCCAGTGTAGAAGCCACTTCAAGCTTTCACATATATTATGTAGGTGAAATATAACCAGAGGTATTCAGTCATTACTCAGGTTCACTATGCGGTTATGATTATTTTATGTAGTTTATTCCTCTTTTTCCTCTCCAAAAAATATGAAACAGCCGTACTTTTACATGAAAGTACTGTGGATGTAAGAATATTTTCTGATATCTCAAATATTAACCTTTTCCCTCCTAGGATGAGCGGCAGGACAGCACCGAGCCGCATTTTGTACTCAACCGCGTAAGTACATCAGCATCATGATAATCATAATGATAACGATATTTACAATAAAAGTAATAATCACAGTGGTAATAACAATGGGAAAGTAGTGCATTAAATTGGTTTTAGGAAAATACAATTACTTCAGTTGGTTCATTAAACTCGTTTCGTTAAGTATCATCTGGAGAGTTTGTAACCAAAAGCACCAAGTACATTCTAGAGAATCGAATAGACGGTTCCTCGTACTCCAATGTGTAACATTTCAGTTACCATTTTCATGTTGATTTTGACTTGAGTTCTGCCTGTACTTGTTAGACAAGAAGAGGCGTACAAGTCAGTTGTGGCTATTGCGTAGGTCAACGTATCGCTTGTCATATAATAATTATTTTGAAACTTTTTTTTTTCTTTCACAGAATATGAGAGAGCGTAGGAGTATACCCAAAGAAGGCTTTACTATTCTGGTGAGTGAATGTGCCAGGTATCTATATACATTGTAGATTGTAGATTGCTGGTATGAAACACGAATGAGTATATCACCTTGAGTTTATAAAGCTGCAAAAAGGCTATGATGGCCGCATGCTAAACGTGCGAAACAAACAAGTTTGTCACTCATGGCGTTCCTGTCCGTTCTTTTTCGAGGAGACCAATCCCGACCGAGTCGAGGCCGGCCAGCTGTTCGACAAGGACATGCTGCTGACGGAGGCGCAGTGGAGGGACCTCGCCTTGAGGAAGGGCCTGGCCTCTCAGAACTACCGCTGGCCAGAGAGCGGAGACGGCTTCCCGCACGTGCCTTACCGCTTCGCCGACGGTCAGTGGTCCTGCGAGGAGTGACTCGGCCGATTTGGTTTGTTTTATTTGGAAAAAATATGTGTACATAAGAAGAAATGTCACTCATGAAGTCTCTCCCAACCCAGCTAACGTGGACCAGGTCGCGGTCAAAGCCGGCATCGCGCACTGGGAGCAGCACACCTGCCTCAAGTTCGACCTGACCACCAATGAGAACCAGCCTCACCTCAAGTTCCAGAACCGGCTGTTGGTCGTACGTCGGATACATCTCGCAGTTTTCCACCGGCCAAGACATCTCCATCGGCCAAGGCTGCACCTCCGTGAGTTCACCTGCATTTTCAGTATTGCAATGCACGCATATAGGAAATGGTGATTAGTTTTGATAAACACTCTTGCATTGCAATCACCTTTCTCATCTTCCTCTCCTGCAGCTGGGCACAGTCGCCCACGAAATCGGCCACGCCATCGGCTTCTACCACGAACAGTCCCGCCCGGATCGCGACGACAGCATCCACATCAATGAGGAAAACATCGTGGACGGAAGAGAAAACAACTTTGCCAAGAAATCCGACAGTCTTGTGGACAGTCAAGGAATTCCATACGATTACTCAAGTGACATGCATTACAGCGGATTTGTAAGTATTCTTCAATCACTTGTGGAGTCTTCTCTATGAACAGGACACCTGGGTTGACTTTCTTTTGCATGAAAGTGACGGCAATCTCACAATGTATTCTAACCAAGAGCCGTTCACCCCTCAGGGCTTCTCGAAGAACGGCCGCCTGACCATCGCCACGGTGGACCCGCGCAACCAGGAGCTGATCGGACGTCGCGACGGCCTGTCGCACCGGGACACGCACCTCGCCAACCTCATGTACGGATGCATCGGTTAGTAATCCTCCTGGTCTTGCATGGACATATGTAATATTTTGCCTGAGAGATTTTCCTTCGTAGTTCTAGCAAGGCAAAGAAGCACTCAAAAGTCTCGCTGGTTTCTCGCTGCAGACAAGTGGAAGCAGGCGTGTGCATGGACAGCGACCCCTGCCAGAACGGCGGGTACACTGGTGCAAACTGCGCGTGCGTGTGTCCGCAAGGAACATCCGGGTCTTCCTGCGAAACACTCGAAGAGGATTATTTTGGTAATAATATTTTTAGATTTTCAAGAATGTAAACATGTATATATACATGTACTCACATGTATATATTGATGCATATAATATATATGTATACATATAATGTATATATACATATATGTATTTACGTATATATGTACATATGCATATGTATGTATATACCTAAATGTGTGTAGATATATGTATGCGAGAGAGAGGAAGAGAGATTTTGTGTGTGTGCTTGAACCATGAGGGACCTTACTTCCTCCACTAACAGAACTACCCATTTCCCTTCAGCCTCGCAACGCAGTGACTGCAGTGCGCGCATCACAAGCCCTGGCACGGTCACCTCGCCCAACTACCCGAGTAACTACCCTTATGGTGAGTCATTCCACTCTGATGGCATGCACAGGATCCTAGTGTGAAATAGCAAAGGACAAAATATTCTCCACGAGATGGTATAATCACACTGAGGTGTATATGCATGTATATACTATTCTATCGTTCTCTTATCGATTTCTGTAGGAGTGGTATGTGCCAAGTGGGTAGTGGCACCTGAGTGCAAGCTGCCCAGAGTCACCTTCACTGCCTTCAGGCTCTCCGACTGTTGGGACAACCTGGAGATTCGAACCAGCAACCGCTACGATGGCGACTTGTAAGTCCTCTTCAACTTTATGAATACAGTCAATTATTTCACGAATATTCTCGTTACAAGTATTCTGTAACACATCTCTTATTCAGTCAATTCGGTGGCAGTCCTGTTCCCTTTCGTTGATAATCTGTTCCATGAATCGTCTTCAACAGCTACTGCGGGACCAGCATCGCCCCGGGTACCTCGTTCACCTCCACCACCAACGAGCTCATCCTGATGTTTTACACAAGGACCAATTCCGAGACGGGTTGGTCTGCGGACGTCACTTTCATCGACGACCCCAACTGCAGCCCTGCTACCACACAACCACCAACCACTCAGCCACCAACCACACAACCACCAACCACTCAGCCACCAACTACACCACAACCTTCTCCACGCTGTTCTTTACTCTCTGCCAGCAATGGAGTGACTTGGCTGTCCCCCAACTTCGGCTTCGAGAACTATCCCAACGACTTCACTTGTGGTCTTAAGGGAACCGCTGTAAGAATCATGAACGATTTCCCTCCATGTTAATATTTCTCATGAGAAATAGTAGTAAATACATCACATAAGTCAAAATATGTCACATGAGAAGTGGTAGTATATCCCATGAAAAGTGTAGTTAGTGTATGGCATGAGAAGCCATGAATCCCATGTTAAGTATTCAGTACTGACGTCTTCCTCTTCCAGGGCTCACCTTACATGACCACCTTCAAGATCAACTCCTTCCAACTGCAGAAGAAGAAGCTCAAGAAATGCGTCGACTTCGTTGGGATTCAGATTCCTTACAACAGGACCGTGAAGTAAGGACTGGCATAAATATTCTTGGAAGTATTATTAGAGGGATTAGTGGTAGGGGTATCCCATCAGAAGATATTCCTTCACTGGATGAGGATGGTGGGGGAGATGCAGAGACAATATTGTCAAAAAGAAAAAGAAATGTAAACTGTAAGGTATACTCACTGACAAAGTTATTAATGGCCGAGGCATCCTTTTACATGACATTTCCTATCTCAGGCTCTGCGGTGCAAGGAAAGGGTCCATTTTTGTTCCGAACCTGAATCTGGAAGCCAACTTCGTCACCGACAACGCTGTAACGGACGTCGGATTCAACGTCAGCATCACGTGGCAAAAGACGGAGTGTCACCGCGTCATCGAACTTTCGGACGACTCCGCGACGGGCGTCATCCAGAGTCCGAGATTCCCAGAGAATTATCCGAAGAATTCCGTCTGCGAGTGGTGGATTGTGGTAAGTT